CCCCTTTCTGTTGGCAACTCTACAAAGACCATAGAAATATCTTATGAGTTGACACCCAGGGTTGCTTGCCACAGTTGTATGTATGTGTGAAAAATGGTCATAAATGACTTTTTTCAATGCCGTTGTAACTTTGAATGCTCACTAAACGAATCCAGTACTTCGAATTCAGGTCACCAAAACTACTGGTGCGTACCTTAATCATTTAGCAAACGGAAGCGATCTGGTTAGAGAACCAGCTTTCATGAAAAGCTTGTACGGGTAGTCCTCTACTTACAACAGTTCATTTAGTGACCGAAAATTACAACGGCACGGAAAAAAAGGTGACTTATGACCACTCAACGAATGTCTCACTGAGCAAGGAGAAATTTGGGCCTCAATTATGGTCATAAGTCGAGGAGTACCTGTCCCTCAATTTAAAAAATCCTCGATCACCCTTTGCAGCGTTTGCCAACCATCTTAACCACGCAATTGTATGCATGTTTGTTCAGAAGCCTCCCTGCTTTGATGCATTTGCTCCCAATAAAATAGAGACATCTAAATGTACTTTTATCTCTCTGGGCACAATGAGAATATATCTGCTGGGGGGAAAAACCTCCACATTGGTGACAGGAAGGGCATCCGGCCAGTAAACACTCAACTCCATATTCAGTTGCCTAGACTCCACCCTGCAAGGGATTATGGGGTCTTTAAAAGATGATGGTCGATATGTACTTTATGTTGGTTTGCGGCTGTGAGACGAAGCCTCGCATATATTTCAGTGTTTCAGACACACACGGTATAGATCAGACGGCACTTTAAAAAGCCGCACGCAGCAGCTCCAGCGCCTGAAATCTTGTGTTACCTCGGATGGCTCTTGCAATGAAAGAGGAATGTACCTTATTAGACCCTGGGATAGCTGAATAAATAAGTCTATCAGCTCGACGCTTGGTAAACCTACCCGTAATAACTCTTAAATGATGAATTTCCTCAGAGATTGACGGGTGACTCATCCCGATTAAATTAAATCTGGAGGAATGGTTGAAAAGAAAGGGGGGGGGGGGGGGAAGTGGGAAAGTGTATCGGTGCATTGCTTGCCAAGGATGAAGCATGCTGTGAAAATGTGCTTTTAAAATACTCACTGGAAAAGCGTTTTTTCCATACGATTTAAACTTTTAGTAAACCTGTGCAAAAATTACACACGCACAGACAGAAAAACACAACGCTTTGCCCCTTTCCAAACCGGTGAAAGAGAATTTCAAATTTTCTTCGAAAGGGGATGTGAGGTTCTTGCGGTGATTTAGTGACCAGCAGCCCAAAATGTGCGCAAAGGTGTTTTTCAGAACAGTTAGAAGGGACCTTTGTAGGTCATCTAGTCCAACCCCCGCCCAAACCGGAGACCCTACGCCATTTCTGACAGATGCAGTCCTCTCTCTCCTTCAAAGCTTCTCCAGGGATGAAGCTCCCACACCTTCACAACTTTTCTTGCATCGTTGTTGTTGGTCTGTGGCTTCCCACACACCCGTTTCCGCCCCAAAGGCATATAACCGTGAGGGAGCTTTGCCAAATGGAGAACACCACCAAGAAAACAACTCAAAAATACTGCAACCTCCAAAAAAATAAAATAATAACAAGCCCCTCAGGAGAGACACAAAATAAATTCTCAACATAGAGAAACAGCCATGGAGATGATCTCGGAGAAACCAGGCCACGGCTGTTAGAAGAATGCAGATGTAGATAAAACATGAATTAAATCCGGTTTTCCTGATCTGGACTATACGGCTAGTCCTCGACATACGACTCTAATGGTGCCTGTCTTATTACTCGTATGTCGTAAAATGGGTCAGTCATGTGACCGATCCAATTTTCACAACCTTTTTTGGTGCCGGGTTAAACATATCTTAAAATTGCCAAGGTTGAGAGACCCCTGGTTTAGAGCCCAGGAACAATGACCCAGAAATGCGTTTACAGGTAGTCTTCGACCTACAGTGGTTTGTTTAGTGACCGTTTGAGGGCCATTTTTCACACTTAACAACCGTCGCAGCATTCCCCAAGGTCACGAGATTTACAATCAGATGCTTGGCAACTGATTCACGTTTATGACGGTTGAAGTGTCCCAGAATCACGCTTTTAGTTTAGTTTGGTTTACTTTATTGTCATTGCACCTCGTACAAACTTTGGCAAACTTCTGTCAAGCCAAGTCGATGGAGAAACCAGATTCACTCAAGAACCGTGTTACTAATTGAACAGCTTAGTGGCAAGAGAAGTTGTAAAATGGGGCGAAATTCCCTTCACAATTTTGTCGCTTAAACAACATACATTTTGGGCTCAGTTGTGTTTGTACGTTGGGGACTACCTGCATTCTTAGCCAATATTTCACAAACTATCCTCCAACGTAGATTTTGCGCATGTTCTTCTCGCTCTCCTTCCTTCAACCGTTTCTTCAACCTTGTTTCTTCACCTCTCTGTCACGCTCCAGGCGTTTCTTTTCCAACTTTCACACCCGTTCAACCAACCCGAGGGTGTGTATTTCATGAGTTCGTGCATTCTACACATCTACCTGGCATAACTATCCATAATCTCAATAATGAGGACCCAACCCAAGAAAAGTTAGGGCCCGTAAGTCAGAAAAAAACACTTCAAAGCAAGTTAAGATTTGTAGTTGATGGGAAAAAAACAACCCATTAGATTTGTTCAGTAGTTGTTCCAGCTTCAGAAATTCCACACTTGGGAAAAAATAATCCCTTCTTAGCACCTGGTACCTTCTGGCAAATGTTTGGACCCACAACCACTTCTCATTTCATCAACTGTCTTGCCCCACCAAGAAATGCCAGCCAACTAGCCAGTCCTAGGACTACCCCTTCAACACCATCTTCAACATTCTCAACCTCAAGTCATTTGAGATCTCACAAACTGTCTTAACGCTGTACACAGCTGGCTTTCTGATTCCACTTCCTTGGGTGAAACCAACTGCAACCCTTACCAATGGAGATTTATCTCTCTTTTTGGAATCCCCCCCCCCCCCGACCCCATATTTCGTACCTAAGCAGGAGGCACTTGAGATAAAGGCAATTTTGAAAGTCATCATGTTGTACGGTACACTTCAGACTGCAGTGTAGAACTCAAAACTTCCTTTCAAAATGTGTGCTGGGTCCTGTGCAATTTTTTGTGTGTGTGTGTGTGTGTGTCAGGGGGAGGAGGTTTACTCTTTTAAGAGAGAAAAAGAAAGAGAGAGAGAAAGAGAAAGAGCAAGAGAAAGAGATGATTTTCAACATTTGGCAACTAAGTGGTGGCATTACATTTTTTTTTTTTTTGAAAAATATGTATTTTGGATGTCTCAATCTGCAGTCTAGATTGCTCTACAAGGCATTATACAATAGTCTTTACAGATCTGATTCTTGGCACACAAACTGAACTAAATGGAATTTGCACTGCCAGAAAACATTTTTTACCTACTGAAAAATGTCACATCCTTGCACCTTCAATTTGTCACTACCGATAGGAAGGATTTAAGTCTCCCGTTTCCTGGGTTGTTGTTGTTTTTGTTTTAAATCTGGGAAAAGTGTCCGATGTGGCCAAATATCAAGGGATTCACCAGAATAACAAATGGCAGAAATCTCCTTCCAAATCTCCTCAGTGACGGGCTGGAGGTCAGTTTTTATTCAAAGACTCCCATTAAGGGTATAATTAGTGCTTTCCAACTGACATATAATATTGCATGAGGAAGTCGTATTTGGAATCTGTCTTTTTAAAAGAAGGCAGCCGATTAGCAAGCTGAATGTCTCCTTTTATAGTTATTTTAATTAATGTCCAAATGCTTCAGAAAATTTCACACAGCCTTGGCAACGCCAAAAAATAAAACAAAAAACCCTTTTCATGAAAATAAAGTGCTATTAATTTTGGTCTCCAGATACACATTGGTATTAAGTCCCTTAGAACAAGAGTCTCCAACCTTGGCAACTTTAAGACTTGTGGACTTCAGCTCCCAGAATTCCCCTGGGGAATTCTGGGAGTTGAAGTCCACAAATCTTAATGTTTCCAAGGTTGGAGACCCCTGCCTTAAGGTGTTTCCACCAACCAGGCACACTCCTGGTATGCCGAATCTGAGCTCCCATCATCCTGAACCAGTATACTCACATTTGTTAAGATGACTGCTCTCAAAGGAGCACAAGTAGTTCTTGACTTACGACCAATTGCTTAGCAACCATTCAAAGTTATAACGGAGCCCCCAAAAGGTACATATGAACTGGATTTAAAATTCTGACAGCTGCATGCGATTGAATTTTGGGTGCTCAGGATTCGGCCTGCATTTACAACTGTTTGCATGTCCTGCAGTTGCATGATGATGATGTATGTATGATGTTAAGTTTACTTATGGACAATGGGTTAAGCTTTACAATTGTCGTGATTGTTTAAAGAACCCTGGAAAAGAAGGTTCTAACATTGGACACGGTCATGTGATGATCTACTTAAGGACCAACATAACTTACAACCATAATTCCTGTACGGAAGTCCCCTCTTACGACCAACAATTGTGCCTCAGCTGTCTGTTGCTAAGCAAGACAGTTACGAAGTAAGTTTTGCCCGATCTTACAAGCTTTCTTGCCACCGTTGTTAAGCGGATCACTGCAGTTCTTAAATTAATAACACGGTTATTAAGTGAATCTGAATTCCCCCCACTGACTTTGCTGGTCAGAAGGGGCCTTCATAAATATGAGCCAATGGCCAAGCATCCAAATTTTGAACAGGTCACCCAGAGGATGCTGCCACCGTCGTAAATGTGGAAAAGTTGCTTTGTTCAGGACTGTCGTTACCTCAAACAGTCACTAACGGAATGGCTGTACGTGGAGGACTCCCTGTAAACTGAACGAGGCTGTGTTTCCTTCTCTTCTACTCCAGCCCATAATAAGCAGACCCATATCAGGGCAGCAGTCCGTCAGACCCTGGGCAAAATGCCAAAGCACTAATGCCTGCTCAAGATTCCTAACTTGGCTGGGAAATGTTGTTCTCCAAAGAACAGCCACCCAGGAGAATGAGTCATAGATAGCCTGAGATTTCCCCAAGTAGAAACTCTCAACTTTTCCCTATCAAGAACTGCCCTTTCGAACCCACCGAAAAGCGGCTTGGACATTTTTTTTTTGCCTGCCTCGGTTGACGAAAGCAGAAACCCTGAGCGGAAGAAGCCAGAATCAGCCAGGGGTGGCGAGGACCAATCCTGCCCTCTTGGAACTGTGGTGAACCCCAAGAAGATATTCTTTCCATCCTTCCCTCCCTTCCAGCAAACCCCTGAAGTGTCTGACCTGCTGGTAAAAAGAACACCCCAAAACTCATCCAGCACCCGAGTTCCACGCAGGATTGGAACTCATGGGTCCAACTCTTAAGACCAAAAGTCCGATGTAGACAAGTCTTTCTTGCTCCTAGACAAGGTCCTTCAGATGACCTTGAGTGGAGCCCCAAATCCAAAATTTGTCTTGGGGAATATACGGCAACTCAACCTTCATTTTGGGGGGGTGCAAAGTCCAGGCTGGCGAGGGGTAAAGGAGGAGCCTCAGGTGAGGTTCTGCTTTCGGTACCTGGGGCCACCGTACACCCGGATGATCCTGGGCGCCTGCTTCCAGATGCTCAGCAGCTGCGAGGCCACCTTCTCCAAAGTGGGACGCTCAAAATCGGCCAGCAGGTTCACCGGAGAGGCTTCCTTGACGAATTTGGGCAAGCTCAGGATTTCGGGCAGGTGAGGGTTCCCCAGAAACAGGTGGGCCAGCCTCCCTCGCTGCAGAGCCTGCACCAGGAAAAGGACCACGTCCTCCAGCCGGGCCACCAAGAACTGGTCCTCCCAAGCTTGCCACGGGATACGCAGGAGCACCCAGAAAAGCGCCGTCTTGAGGACGTAGGAGGAGAGGACCCGGTCCCACTGGGCAGCCCAGGGGGGCTCCAGGGCACGGCTCCCCAGCTCCCTCAGCCCCTTGAGGATCTGCAAACATTTCAGGTGGCAGGAGTCGGGCAGGAGTTGGTCCCGCAGCCAGGCCAGCAAGCGCTGCTCGGCTTTGGAGAGGTTGAGGGTCCAGAAAGTGCCCAGTTGGGGGGCCGTTGAAGGCTGGAGGCAAACCCAGGGGGTGAGGTAGAGCCCCTCGCCCAGCGGGATGGCCGGGGTGAGGTGGACGGTCAGGGAGAGGTGGCAGCAGACGTAATCCGAGCGGGGCGCGATCTGCAAAGCCAGCGGGCAGGGCGCAGCGCCTACGGCCAATTGCACCCGGCAACGCTCTTGCAGGCGGGCGCGCACGGCGCAAAGGCAGCGCTGCACTTGCGCCTGGAACCAGCGGGCCACCAGCGCCGCCGACAGCAGGGACGCCCCGTCCGCCTCGCCCTGGCTTGCAGCCACGCACAGGGGCCGGCTCGGGGAGCCTTGCGCGCCATCGGCGACGCGCAAAACGCAGAGGAAAGCGCCCCGCCGCCCCCCGGGCTGCTTTGGCTGCTGTTCCTCCGGAGCGTAAGGCAGGGCGCGCAGCTCCAGCCGGGGCGGCAGACGCAGCGGCACCAGCACGTCGAAGGCGTCGGGGCTGCCCACCTTGTGCTGCTCGTAAGCGCTGCCCACTTGGACGACATCCCCGCGCAGGGACAGCCGGCCGGCCGCCTTGCCGGCGCGCACCAGCTCGCCCACCACCAGGCTGACGTGGGCTTTGCTGTGGCCCAGCACGTGGGGCGAGAGCCGCAGCCGCGTCTCGTAGAAGCCGTCCAGCAAGGCGCGGCGCCGGGCTTCCCGTCCGCTGGAAGCGCCGGGGCTGCCGATCGAGCCGCCTTTCAGCCGCCGCCGTCGCTGCTGCTGCTGCTGCCGCGCCGTCCACCAAGCCCGCCCGCCCAAGCCCAGCGCGGCCAGCAAGAGTAGCAGCAGCAGCAGCGGAGGAACCGGCAGCCCTCTCAGCAGCGACGGCAGCGGCCAGCCCGCTTCCCCGCCCGTCGGGCCGGCCTTGCCGCGCAGCGCTTGCAACAGGCAGACCAGGACGGTGCACGCGCAGGTCAGGAGCGGCCAGAAGACGCGCACGTTGAGCCTGTAGACGGCCATGGGGGGGGGGGGGGGAGATCCTTCAGGGGCGGCGGGGAGGCGAGGAGGTCCCTCGGGGAAGGCCGGCTTCATGCATCGCCCGTCGAGCTCAGCGCTGCTGTTGCTTGCAAACCCGCCACCGCCGTTGCTGCTTCGCTCCGGGCTGGCAGCGTTTCAACCCATCGCCGCGGCTTTTTTGGGGGAGGGGGGGCTCCGGCAGCCTTCGACGGGGCAGGACAGCCCCCTCTCTTCCTCTTCCCTCGGCCCCGACAGACGGCCCTCCCGTGAGACGGGCTTGGGGGTGTCCGGGCTCTGCAACCTTTCCTTTTGCTGGCCGGGCGCCCGCGGGCGCCCAAGCGAGATGTCCCCAGGGCTTAACGGCTCGGAGGAAGCGACGGGCGGCCACTCACGGTTTGTGGATCCCCGTCGTCGGGGGCTGGGGCTTCGTCAGCCCCGGTCCCCCTCCGTCGTCCTGGGGCCGGACGCCGCTTGCTATCTCGCCGCTGCTCGCGTCGCTTGCAGAAGTAGCCAACTTTTGCAAAAACTTTTTTTTCCCCTTCGCTTCCTCTTCCGAGTGGGGAACGCGGCGCGTCACTTAGTGGATGAGCTCAGAGGAAATGCCAAAGTCTGGGATGGAGGAGGAGGAGGAGGAAGGGGCGGTGGGACCCGAAGGGACGGGCGCTGGGTTGCCCCCTCGGCTTGGATCCAGGACTGTCCCGGGCGGGAGAAGCGCAGGAGAGGAATAGAAGGAGGCGGCTAGGAAGAGGAGGAGGAAAGAGGGAGCAAAGGAACTGGGCGTGGATTTGTCCTGGGCGTTGGCTAGAGGGAGGGAGGGAGGGAGGGAGAAGCCAGGATGCCCAAACAAACCAGGATTTCCACCCTCTCTATGGGGAGGGGGGGGGCACACCTGGTTTCCAAAGGCAGAAATCTGCCAGCAATCAGATCTCTTGCCTAGGACAGAAGTCTCCAACCTTGGCAACTTTAAGCCTGGAGGACTTCAACTCCCAGAATTCCCCAGCCATGTCTGAATTCAACTCCCAGAATTCCCTAGCCACGTCTGGACTTCAACTCCCAGAATTCCCCAGCCAGGTCCAGACTTCAACCCCCAGAACTGCTGGCTGAGGAATTCTGGGAGTTGAAGTCCGTCAGGCTTAAAGTTGCCGTGGTTACAGACCTCCGGCCTAGGAGAAAGGCTCAGACAGAAAAGAGGGGGGAAAGAGGGAAGGAACTGGATTGTTAGGTTGTCCTTGACTTACGACTGCAACGGAGCACCACATTTTTCTTGCTAGGCAAGACAGTGAAGTGGGGCTTGTTTGCCCCGTTTTTACGACCTTTCCTGCCACAGTTAAGGGAATCCCTGCCGTTGTGAAAGTGAATCTGGTGACTTCACTCACCAGAAGGTCGCAAAAGGGGATTGCGTGACCCCTCCAGGGATGCTACGACTGGTTCTCTGCCCAGTGGCTGGGTGGGCGTGGCCTAGTTGGCCTCCTGCACTTACCCTCCCGGGCTCCGGAGGCTTTCCACAAACTTCTGGGAGGGTGAAAACAACCTCCCCCGAACTCCGGAGGTGGGAAACGGGCCCGTTTTCGGACTTCCGGAAGGCCCATTTTTTTCGCCCTCCACGACACTCCACGCATCCAAAATGGGCCCCGTGGAGACTCCTGGGAGGGGAGGGGTGGGCAGGCCCAGTCAGGGGTGGGATTTGGCGGTTTGCCAAACTGGCCATAACGCTAGCAGCCCACCCCGCCCAGAGGCTGGATTCGGCCCACAGGGTGCTTAGATCTGGCCCGCGGGACCGCCCAGCAAAGGACAGGCCCACGGTGCCTCTGACAGCAAAAACGGAGCATGGGAGAGCTTCCCAAACTGCATTTTCACTGGCAGAGGGCTGCAGGGGGCCTTCGCGGCTGAAAATGGAGCCTTGATGAGTGATGTTGAGGTGGCCATGCCTTGTGGCCAGCCCCCTCCGTCAAACACAACTCTGATGCGGCCCTGAATGAAATCTAGTTTGACACCCCTGATGTAGTGCATATTGGAGGTGGTGACTCTTGAGAGCTGCTATACGCAACGAAATTTCATTTTCATGTATACCGATCGGTGTATGTTTAAAGTGGCAATAAAGTTAGTTAAATACTGTTAAGTGGATTAAAAATGCCAAATCCAATCTAAACATCTGTACAACTGTGCAATAAACCACAATAATAATAAAATGTTAGGTGTAGTAGGCTACACAGATAGTCCTTGATTTATGACGTTTAGTGACCGTTTGAAGTTAAAACGGCACTGAAATGACTTGCGCCCATTTTTCACATGTTGCAGCATCCCTGTGATCAAAATTCAGACACTGACTCGTATTTATGACGGGTGCAGTGTCCCGGGGTCATGTGGTCTCCCTTTTGTAACCTTCTGACAAGCAAAGTCCATAGGGAATCCAGATTCACTTAATGACCGTGTGACTAAGTTAACAACCGCAGTGATTCACTTAATAATTGTGGCAACAAAGGTCATAAAACTCAATTGTCTCATTTAACAACAGGCTTTGGGCTCAATTGTGGTCCTAAGTTGAGGACTACTTGCAATGCATGTTATATGTCTGACATGTTTTACAACATCCGTCCCCACTAAAGCTGTTCTCCTCCACTTATTATTGTTGTTGTTTTGTTGTTGTTCACAAAAATGACAGTGTACACAGCAAACGAGATAACTATGCTGGGTTTCGTATCACAAATCACTAGTCGAACACTTCCCAAGTGTTTAGAACTGCGTGATGCATTGGCAGATTATTATTATTACTACTATTATTATTAAATAAAGTTTTTTTTAAAAGCTTAAAAATAATGCTTAAAAGTTTTGGAATGAAGCACCATTTATTTCCACAAGCATCTACTCCTGAATCTTCCATTAGAAAACACAATTGGTTTTTAAGCAGTGTGAACTTGCTTTTCAGTACAAACTTTAATAATAAGTTAATGTATCTTGGGAAGGAAGGCAAAATGGCTATTCTATATGGAATCCCTTTCGTTGAAAAAAGATGTTGCAATTGGCCCCCCAAAAATGGCAGCAAAATGCGGTCATTTTCAGGTGGAAAGCATATGAAAAACAGTTGTGTAACCTATCCAGCAAGTTTCCAACAATTTCAGACAGTCGAAATGGTAACCATCGTTTTTCCCCAACTGACAGGAACAATGAAGAAAACAAAAGAATTCCCATCTATATAGACTTTCCAATAAGGTATAAGGATAGTTTTGTTCTACTTGAACATCTCTTAATTTACGATAAATCTACCACTGCCAAATCTAAATTCTTTCTGATAAAAATATTGCTGCTTTACAACCAACTTGTATAGCATTCTTCAAAATGGAATATCCCGGAGTCTATGCAAGAAAAAAAGAAAGAACATTGAATATTAGAACTGTTTTATATTTTCCGTTATCTTCAAAAAACGGCTACCAGCAACAACTCAAGACTAAAACTGCTTTTGCTATTCCAGTTATTCAGGGCAAAGGAGAACAGATGCGCTTATTTTCCAAAGCATCTCAGGGCAGGACAAGGAGGGGTGGAAGATCACTAGAGAGAGATCCAGCTTAAACTCAGGAGATATTTCCTAAGAACAATCAACCAGTGGACTGGCTTGTCTCCAAAGGTTGTGGGTGCTACATCACTGGAGGTTTTTAAGAAGAGATTCGACAGCCATTTTGTCCAGAATGTTATAGGATTTCCTGCTTGATCAGAGGGTTGGACTAGACCTCCAAGGTCCAACTCTTTTTATTTTGTTAAATGCTATTTTAAGAAACTCTGCCTTAATTGCTCCAATTCTACAAGGATTCATGATTCATGGTTTTGTAAACAGTTCCCTTGAAGGCTCCTCTGTTCCCAGGGAAGAGACCTACCAGCTTCTGGGTTTCCAGAAAAGGCAGCAAAAACGAACATGATGAAAATTCAAAGCACCCTTAGATGCTTTGAGATCTAGGGTTGCATGTGGGAAAGGGCCCAGTTGCTGAAATTCTTGCAACTCGTGTCTCTCCTCAGTATGTCCTGATAGACATATCAAGCACAGGTGGATAACCAGGTCTACTGGACTTCAACTCCCAGAATTCCTGAGCCAGCACATGGGTGCTTTTGAGTAGGCAAATTCTGAGGAGGTTTGTTGCCAACTTACCAGTTCAGCATCGTATTCAAGTCCAGTGTCGTGATGCTGCATCTCTTCATCGCGAAATTTCTTGATGATCTGGTGGGTGGGAGTTGTATCCCAGAAGCAAGTCAAGGGAGAAAACATATGTTAACTGGTTTTTAAAAATGCCAGAAATGTCAACATTTTGGGGATACACTTTAAATGAAAATCTACAATATCAGAGGAGCATATGGCTTTCAAGTGCCTGTTTTCAGCTCCTGCCTCCCTCTCTGACCCAAAACCAGGACTTGTCATCAGTTCTTAAAACAGACTTTCAACCATTATTTTGGAGGACTGGCAAGCTGGCACTCTAGCTACAGAAGTGATCAATAAGGTTTTATACCACACATAGTTAAGAACATCTTTTGCTTCCACTGGAAATTTAAGAAATTTCATTCAATAGTGAAATGTTGGTAAATGCTGAACTTATGAAAGTTTGGCCCGTCAGATTCTTTCTCAAATCCATCCATCCATCCACCCACCCATCTACCTGCTTCAACTCCCATAATTCCCCAGTCGTATTGAGAAATTTTTAAGGGGTGTGGACTTCAATCCCCATAATTCCCCAGTTGTACTGAGGACCCTTTAAGGTGTGTGGACTTCAACTCCCATAATGCCTCAGTCATCCTGAGAAACTTTTAAGGAGTATGGACTTCAATACCCAGAATTCCTCAGTCATACTGAGGAATCTAAGGTGTGTGGACTTCAACTCCCAGAATTCCCTAGTCATACTGAGGAACTTTTAAGGTGTGTGGACTTCAACTCCCAGAATTCCTCAATCGTACTGAGGAACTTTTAAGGTGTGTGAGGACTTCCAAAATTCCCCAAATAGCATGCTATGGGCTTGAAGTTGCCAAGTTTGAAAAAAAACTGCTCTAAATTAAACCAAAACAGTATCGTAAGGTAGATTATATCTGTAACTTTTTAGCATAACGATACCTGTAATAACTCCTTGTATTTCTCAGGGTCTTCTTCTACGAG